GGGAAGTTCTCCAGAAGTGCCTGAAAGGGACACTTGCCACTGGTTCACCTGGGAACAACTAAGCTGGAGGCCTGGTAGGGAGCACTTTACAGCTTACCTGGAGGCCCTCCTAGTGAAAAGAGCTGCAGATGTCTTTACATATGCTGGATGATCTGTTAAAAAACGTGACAGAACCATGCGAGTTTCGGTGCATTTTTTATGGGTCTGAATGTAAAAGTGAAGACCAAAGATGTGATGGAAGATGCAGGCACTGCTGTAAGGGCCTTATGGAAAAACAGAGTTTTGCTGAACGTATGAGAGTTGGAGTAATTTTATATTGTCTTTTTTAATCTTTCCTCAGAAATGTTACCACTTCGTATTCCAGCGCTACCGCCTGGAACACTACACGGTCTCCTCCAACTGGCTGGCTCTGTGCACTGTCTTCCTCTTTGGCCTTTTGTCACTGTCACGCTCTGTTGCCTTATTCAGAGGTTGGTATTTCAGACTTGTTCTGCGCTTTCCTGGGCAAGTCTTAAGGGCTGGCCCAAGTTGTGCTGCTTTGACTGTAGCAGCACAGTAGAAATAAGGAACCTCGAAAGTTTGGATGTTATTGTTGTAGGGGAAGGAATAAGTTCTAGTGGTCACCGTTACTGAAGGATTATGTGTGTGTATGTATGTGCACACATGTATGAATGTATGTATTCATGTATGAATCACTAGAATTAGATAAAAGTGTGCTGCCCTTCCCCTTCAGGCAGTACAAATATACTGATATAAATCCTGTACCCAGACTAGTATTAAAGCAGAGGCTTTAACTATCAAACGTACGATCCCGCTTGAAAAAGCATTTTGCCCTGTAAAATTCCACGTGTCCTTCATGGAGATTGATTAGGTATGGTCTTTCCCACCTCATCAATATTTTTGTTGCTTGCTGGTAGCCATTGGCAGTCAGGACAAGAGGATGTGAGTAAAGGTGGCGGGGTACCAGTGCTTCGACGAGGAAGGGGAGCTTTGGAATCCAGCCACTCTTCAGCACAGACCAGTTCATTTATTCAAGCAGCTGTCAGTTAAAAAATTACGTATGAACATTTTGTTGCAGTCTTTCAAAAGTAGTCATGTAAATAATCACCTATTTTTTTTAGCCTTATTTACAACTCTCTGCTTTCCTAGGCTACCATGGGCCCCTGGACCTGTACCCAGAATTTCACAGGATTGCTACTGACCCGAGTATTCACACTGTGCCGGAGGGGAGACCAGTTAATGTCTGCGTGGGGAAGGAGTGGCACAGGTTTCCAAGCAGCTTTCTCCTGCCAGATAAGTAAGTTACTTAATGTTAAAAGGTACAGTTTGGTGAGATTAATAAGGAGAGACATTTCTCATAAGTAGTACTTATGGGAGTAACCTTCAAGACCTTGTATCTCTGACACCAGAGTATCCAAAACAAAAGATTCTAAAATTTGTTTTCAGCAGTTTATGTTGGCCAGAAGCTCCTCTGGCAGGTCTGCCTACCCTCAGGAATGAAATGTCCTTGGTTATGCTGTTGTTTTCTCCACACAAAATGTTACTAGGTCCTGCATTTTCCTGCTGGGCTTTCTGACACTCTTCTCTGCAGTTGGCAGCTCCAGTTTATCCTGTCAGAATTCAGGGGCCAGTTACCAAAACCGTTTGCCAAGGGACCACTGGCCACACGGATCATTCCCACTGACATGAATGACCAAAACAAGGAAGAGCCATCTCGATATGTAAGGATTATTTTCCTGTTTTCTTTTCCTTGCTGTATAATTTGTACTAGTACAGTGCCTGTGGTTGAGTCTCCCCGTTTTTTTTCTTGTGGACCGTACAAGTTACAGAACCACAGTGGGCTTTCTGCAGCACTTGGAAATGTCTCCGTTTATGTGCATGGTTCCTGTTTGCATTTCATCTGCCTGTTTTTCATTTAAAGACCTAATAATAATAAAAAAGAAGGAGAAGAAGTAATAACTCCTCGCTATTGCAATTTTGGGTTTAGTATAGTGTGTTACTGCCGTCACAGGGAAGTGAACTGAATGAGTAGTTTGAAATCCGCCCCCGAACATGTTTGTCACTGAGCAAGGATTGAAATTTTCTTTCCTACTTTCCTTTCTATTAAAATATAAACGTATTTATCGTATTTGCAACGGAGAAGGAGGAACTTAATGTGGAAGTTGTCTGAAACAACGGAGTGACTTCAATAGGAATCTGTTGAGATAATGTGTACTGGTATATTAATTTGTTACTTTTCCGGGTTGTATTCTTTTACCTAAACAAAAAAATTAAGGGCACACATGAGTGTTTTAAAACTATTGCCAGCTAACTTCTTTGAAGTTACTTATCTGGTGAAATCCTAGCTGTGCACTGAATATTCTTTGCAGTGCACTGAGTGTTCAGCCATCCTTTTTCATCCTAAGGGTTGAATGAGAGGAACTCCCACAAGAAATGCGTACTCCTTTCTTCATTCTTTGGTGGCACCTTGGAGCGTAGCTTCGGTACATCCGTCAGGATGTCGGAAGCACTCACATGCAATGGCCCAGGTCTCTGGTTTCCGTGGGTGGGTCCATCCTGGCTGAAGGCAGTAGAGGTAGGCTTTTTTTAACGTGGTTCGTGACTTTGGTCTGTTAGGCATTGCGCTCGTGATCCGCTGACTGAAGTGGGTGGAAGGCAGTAGTATAACACGGGAGCAAGCTGTGTGGGTAAACGCAGGGATCGATCTGCCGGGTAAAAGATCTCGTGTTTTGAGCCTCATTATGTAGTTACTGGAGATGGGAAGGAGGCGTGTTCCCACCTGAGAGCAGCTGTCTGCTGCAGCGCGTTTGGTTGACGAACTCTTTGAGCGTGGCGTATTTTTAGCACAGACAGCCGTCTGGTGCACAGCCTGTGACTAACAGAGCAAAACACACTTTTGTTTCATGCGTGTTTGCCTGCGTCACCCTGCACTTTTGTTACTGCTCGTGCAAGCAGAAGGGCCTGGGACATTAGAAATTAGCTACTAAATGTCAGTGTTAAATGGGGTTTTAAAATTTTTACTTCTGACCTGCTAAGAGCACCAAGAGAACAACATCTTTTCTCAAGTGATGAGTGCAAGAATACCAGGATTTTAAAAGAGAATTTAGCAAGCCCTGGAAAGGACCATCATAGTTAATAAATCTAAATAGCTTGAGCCTGTTAGTCTTTTTGAACCATTTTTCTCCTCTTTAAATGACAATCTGAGCCATGGACAGCTTAAAACCAATCAGTGGCTGCAGAAATTGGACTGTTCTCTCTCTTTCAGGTGCACGTATTTATTATTGCTCTGCTTGAGAACTGGAGAGTAAATCTCAGTGTTTCTGTTGCTATGAGACGTGCGGGAGAAAAGAGTGATTTGATCTTCTTGTTTTGCAGTTCTTCCTTCCTTAATCACGTTGAACAGCACTTAACTTGTACTTGTCCTACTGGGGAGATGCATTTGTCTCTGAAACTGTTAAGAAAGATAAGGAATACCATCTCTTACAGAGATGGATCCAAGCAGGAGGAGTAGATTAGGCCTAAAAGCTGAGCCTGTTAACAAGTCCTGACCTCGGAGGAAGTTTTTCTTTAAACACTTCATTTTCACTTCTTTTCCAATTGCCTTTAGCTCTGAAATGTAGGAACCACCTGAAGTTTGGTCTCATTTTTGAAATATGTTTGAGTGAGCAGTACGATATCTCTAGTTTTGCTCAAAACAGTTAAACTTTGTCTGTGGTAAACCAGAGAAGCTCCTGTTGTGCTCTGTGTGGCCAGGCTAACATCCCTCCAGACAGCAGTACAGCAGCAGTCTGCCTGAGCACCGTCTCAGTACTGTAGTGTGCCTGCTCCTGTTACTCAGGATGCCATCAAATGTAGTTCACCACCACTCTGCATAATGTTTGCATCAAATAACGTAAGAGTGGGAGGAGGAAAAGGAAAGGAGAACAGCAGAGGATAGGATGTAATTTGAAATTCCTTGGAGCTCTGTTAATGAACACGGACTTCTTCCTACGAAGAAACATTTCAAGGTCTGCACACCACTGAAATCTGGTGTAAATCCCCGAATAAATGCACAGGTGCTGTGTTGGTCCTCTGACCAGGCTTATCCTTAGCTGCAGTGTAACTTGTAAGAATGTAGTGTGCTCTACATGGAATGGTAGAAGGGATATCCGTCTTCGACTTGGCAAATGATTCATATGCACTGGAACTGTCAGCCCTTTTAGGGGAGCATTTGTAATGAGAGAAGTGAGGTCAGTCTTCATGCTTGAGGCAGTAACTTGTCTTTCTGTGAATGTTTCTACATCACTTAGAGAAAAACTTGGTTAGTGGTTTGGGAGTCTTTTTGTTAATGAGCCAGAAGCTCTCTCAGGGCCCGCAGTGTTCTCACACAGTGCAAGAAGTGGACCAGCATTCTCCTCAGCTGAGTTTCCCATGGTGTAATTTCATTTGCCACTCAGCTGTGATGCCACAGAGCCATCTGGTACCCACCTAATTAAATTGTTTTCAGCCTAAATTGTTATGATAAACCCCAAGGGTGCTTCTGAAAAGTGAGTTCAAGCATGTCCAAGGAAGTTTGCTATCAAATTTTGAGGGAGAGTAAACTGAAATGTGGGATCCCTCAAGGAAGGCTTTGAGGGAGTAAGAATAAGACATAGTCATCCTGGAGAACCTCAGCTGCTTGCATGTAAGGTAACTAATGTGTAGAGTCCTTTGCAAACGTGGCTTAAGGAGACTTTAGCTTTTCATTTTTACTACTCCAGCTGAGCTGCCCTGCCTTTTTCTTCACCTTCAATGTGGTAAACTTGTGCAGTGACTAAGGAAATTTGTTTCCTCATTGAATCACCTGGTCATCACACATTACCTTTTTTTTTTTTCTTTTCTGACTTGATGAGGTGTACACACTGTTGAGGTGTGTTCTGCCATAATTAATTAAAGGGAAAACTGCCACTTGGGAGAGTGAACCTCCTAAGCAGTGCGTGTAGATCTCTCATGAAGGTCACGGGCCCTCCATGTGAAAGTCAGTGAAACCAAACAGACCAGGACTTGTTGCTCCCCAGCCTTGATCATGCTCCTTCTACCAGTCACATTAATGTGAATCTTCCTTCTGATAGGGTCCTCAGTCTTTCATCCCCTGTTGTCCTAACTGTTTGCAGAAAGAAAAAGAAATACATCCGGAGGGGTCTGTCATTTCCCAAAGGTCGGCGATGAGCTGACCTTGCAACAACTCCCCTGTAGCCTGTGCTTGAACAGCTGATGCATGACAGAGGCGAGATCACAATCTACATTCTGTTCTGGGCCCCTTAGGAATGAACAGGGACCAAGAGTTGGTGTCACCATCTGCGAGACGATATTTTTTGTGTGTGCGCACTGTCGACGGGACCAGATGGTGATGCTGTGTGATGGTGGGGCCGTGGAGCCTGGTTCCAGACAATAATTCAGCACAATGATTCGGTTTCGTTGCTGTCCTCAGAAAAAACCTTACAACCAGTTTGCACTGGGATGCATGATGGAAGTTCTTCGCCTAGCACAAAAATTCCCTTAGAGGTTGTAGCCCCCTCATGAATTTCTTTCAGGAAAGTGCAGTGTTGTATTCAGCAGAAGGTGCCCTCATTTATACCTGGGAGAGGGAAGGAAGCATGTTGGAAGCATGCGCCTGTCCTGTTCATGCACTTGGGAGTTCAAACACAGGCCTGACAGTGACAGGGGGTGTGGGAGCAGCTGACTGGACCTTTTATTTGCTCACCAGTTTCTTTGGTGTTTGCTGATCTAATAGGGCTGGGATTAGGTGGCACAAAGTGGCCCTGGGGCTCTGATGTCTCTGTACTGTACTACATTTTATTGTACAAAGCTTAATAACATGTCAGAGGCAGAATTCCCCTTCAGCAGTTGGGAATACTGGAGTGCCACAAGGACAGCTTGCGGACCAACAGAGCCAGAAAAAGCATCCAAGAATTCTGTGCGTTCTCAGAAAGAAATACTGGAGATGGAGCTTTCAGATTAATCTGATTGGAGGTGGCACAAGAGCGTAAGATAGTTGCAAGCATCAGTCCTGGTGACTTCTAGAGCCTTCTAACCCTGATCATTACTACTATTAAAAGGAGATTTGTCCTGGGGGGAGCTCAAGTCGTCTTTGTAGCTTGACAGTTCACGTTTGTCTTGGCAGAGTTTTTATTCCACAGCAGCTCCAGTGCACATCTGTAGGGGTACCTGTGAGGAGTAGGGAGAAGAGGGCAGGAGGTGGGGGCTGTTAGTGAGAAAGGACACAGGATATTCGTATATATGAGTAATACAGTCTGTTCATATCCAAGAGCACTCTCCCCAGCTGGAAGGAGAAGGTTGCATAACACAAGTCTCCTGAGGACATTGCCCGCAGCTCATTTAACTAGGAGGTCATGTTCATTTCTGTGATGTTGCTTCCTCAAATGCATTTTCATAATTTGACAGTGTGTTGCCAGGGCAGGGCAGTTACTTATGGCCTAGGCCACTGATGAAGGCATGACTATGCTGATGACAAGTCTACATGGTCTGAGAGGTGCAGTGTGATGTCCCTCTGCTGCAAGTGAGGCAGTGAGACTCATCAGTACTACAGGACAGGTTATTCAAGCACAAACCTCTGTTGCTTCGCATTAGAATGTCCTTCATTAAAGTGCTACATCCTGATTTGGGCACTGCATTCAGGATAAATGTGATTAATTTAAGACCCACAAGAATGATCATAGGGTGAAAACATGACTGCTGGGTAAAACGGGCTGTAGAGAAGACAAGAGCCATCTTCAGATAACAGAACTCCAGTATGTAAAAGCTATCACGAAGAAAATGGTGTTTTCCTTGTTCCTGATGCAAAACAAGTAGGAACAGGCATGAACTGAGACAAAAAAAGATGTACCCCCCTTCTCATTTATAGATAACAGCCTGTACAAATGAACACATGCAACCAGAAGTCTACAGGAAATAAAAGGAATATCTGTCTTTTTGCAGATTGACATTTCCAAATGCCATTATCTGGTGGACTTGGATACAGCAGCCGAAACCCCAAGGGAGCCAAGGTATTCCTCCAACAAAGAAGAGTGGGTAACCATTGCCTACAAGCCATTCCTAGATGCTTCCAGGTATGCTTTACACATGTGAGAGGGAGGGAGGAAGGCTGGCAGGCCTGTGAAGTAATTGTGTTCAATCATCCGCTTGCCAAAGTACCTGTATACAGGGAGGAAAGATGTCCTGGCAAATGCTAGCTTGAAATCCAGTTTCCAGTAAAGGCAGCTTGCAGGATACAGTGAAACCTTTGTTAAACTTGTACTTGCAGTATTTATGACCAAGGTTGCTTTACAGGGTGAAGCTAGCTGAGAAGGGTGGTGAGAAGGATTAGTTTTAAAGAGAATCCTTCCTCTGCACTTCTTGCTGAAGTTACGTTTTTTGTTTTGCTTTCTAAAGAAATGAGGTGTGTCATCTCCTCCCAACACTTTTGAATCTGCTGTCTTGTTTCAGCCAAATTCAAGACAGGTATAAGTTATTCTCAAAGGCCTCTTAAAAACGTTACGAAAGGTGGCAGACAGAGAGGATGCAATCTCACCGAGCAAAAAAAGTCACCAAGGTCACACCCTTATTAGGCATCAGAGAATCCATGGAAGAGGCCTCTGTTAGAATCCGTTCTTCATCACTTCTGCTGCTCACTGAACAACTTGCTCGTGTGTCTGAACAGGAATTTTTGTGAGAAGAAGTTGAAATTGCTCTCCTCCTGGCTAACAGGGAGTGGAATCAGAGTTGTCAAACTGGGAATATTAATACATTCCTGCAGATATGGCTGTAAGGGGATGATTATTTAGTCATTTAAAGCTCTGGTCATGTTGATGTCATAACAGGACAGAGAGGCTAACTGGAAAAATCTCTGTCAAAAACTAACAGAGAGTTCAGTGCCCTCCTAATTTCTGTGTGAGACCTTATTACTTCCTAGTAACAGGACCTTCCAGGGAGGGGGCCTGGTAAAAGCAGTTGGACAGTGAGAAAGAGTGATAATGTTAGAGCTACTCCCAGGAGTGCTCTAATGTTCCCAGCTTGCTGACGCAAACAAGTTTTCTTGGCAAGGTTTTTCACGAACTATGTTTTCTGAAAGACCTGTTGTTACTTTTGGGCAGGACTTTAGGAAGGGAGAATGAGGTGGCCAACAAGTATTACGAACGAGGCAACAGAAACATCTGCATAAGAGTTTTGCAAAGGACTCCTTGTGCCGAGCATATACCCCTGAATGTGCATTTGTGCTTTGAAGACACACTGATGTGTTTTTAAAGGTGCTTTACCTTGCTATCCTCTGCTGAACAGCCAAGCTTTGATTGTTCAGACCTGATCTAAAGTCCTTTGAAGTCAATCAGGCACTGAGTCAGGTCCAAAAAAGCCTTTAAGACACCTCGGGTTAACCACGGGGATGTAATTTGCTAGGGGTGCTTTCAGAGGTAGCCTGCTGCAGAGATGCTAGCCTGCCTGATGAAAGCAAAGTGAATTACTCTGGTATTGCTGTGCATCTCATGGGCTTCTCCAGAATGTGCTGGATTCTCCATGGCTTCTTTCCACTTTTGCTCATTTTTCCTGTACTTCACTGATGTTTGGTAGAGAAGGAGTTGGTCTGTCTCACGGGGCTTTTTGAATTACTGCACTTTCAGCCCCCACCCGTAGCTCCTGAGCTTTTGATTAATGCTCACTAGAGACAGACCACTGCTCTCTCTTCTGAACCCATTTTGTACCCCTTAGGGGCTGTGCCCTGCTGAATACAAACCAGCATCTGTCTGGAAGCAACATCCAGGAGGAAAGGGGAGGAAAGGGGATCTTTCTGGCTGCTGTCTCCTCCTTAACGAAAGATGCTGTTGCATTGGTGGGAGACTGGAATAGAAGAGGGTCTGCAGAGCATGTCCCCAGAGATCAGGCAGTCAGATCCTTAGCCTTGCTGGTGTCGCCTGTCCGCCTCCTGCCCTCCTGGCCTTGTGCTGCTTGGAAACTCTCCATCCTGTTCCTTATGAACGCCTCACAGCTGGAGCAGAGGGGAGGTGTGGTGCCTTCACCAGTGGAGGAGGCCAGGTTGTGCCAGCAGCAGGTCTGGTTTCCATCCCTGCTATTAGTACCTCCAGAGCTCCCGCAGTTTGGAGCGCTGGGCTCTGTCCCTTCAGCAGTCGGCAGGTGGGGCAGCTCGAGTGCACAGTGCTGGTGAAGGACTAGAAGGGCCTGTGCTTACCTGGGGGGGATATCATTGATGCCGAGGGATGAGAGAACTAGCAGGGCCTCCCCATCTTGTCACCCTGCTTGTCTGAGAGATCTCTGCTCCACCCGACGAAGAATAAGCCAGGAACCATGGCCTGTCTAGCGGGACAAAGGCGTATTAGTGGGCACAGCTTCCCAAGACAACTCATGGTACAGTGAAGAGCAGAAAGAGCCAACCAAGAAGGTGTAGGGTGGATGAGTGATTGAGGGGCTCACCTGGCAGTTGGTGCTCCCACAACTCTGTCCAGGTCTCATCTGGACCAAAAGTTTGCTAGCTCCCCACTTACCTCCAGGAGTTTGTTGGCAGTGAATGAAAAGAGTGAGGTGCTTCAGCTTCGTAATAGTGGTGGCAGATAAATCCCTGTGCATTGCTTTGCATCCAAATATTGGAATTTTGCTGCAACATCCATATAAAGGTTTCCCATGGCAAATGTTCCTAATGGGTCCGCTGAGCTCCTCGCTTCGAATGCGTCATAGCGTTTCTAAAATAAGACAGCATTGTTTGCTTTGCTATTTTTTTCCTGAGTGTGATTGAGTTGTAACTTGCACAAAATAATGGGTCTCAAGCAGTTCTCGGAGGGGGAAGTGACACAAGTTTTTTGCATCAGATTGGCAGCTGACGGATGAGTTAGCTAGTGGCAATTGCAGATCTGCTTAGGCACCGAAGGAGCTGCAAGGGTATGTCTCGCTCTGCAGACCCAGTCATTAGCTATTGCCCTGCTGAGACTGGAAAACCTCATTTACGGAGCAAGTACTACTAGTTTCTGTCTGTGGCTGCAGCAGTCTCCCTTGCTGCTAGTCAACCCTTGCTTTGCTCGCTTCTCTCCTTATCCCAGTCTGTAGAGTACCAAGCCTGTTAGAGTGGGCACTGCACATCCTCAGAGGGAGGATGCTGAGAGTTGCCGCTCCATAGAGCTAGAAGGTTCTCCGAGGGCATCGGTGATGCCTTGAAACCATTTCAGGGATGCAATGAGTACTTCTGTAGTCCAGAAAGTTGTTGGCAGGCCTGATAGTGGAGAAAGTATAGAAATCCCAGCAAAAACACTTCTGTGGTTTTAATTGGAGACAACAAATCCAGTGCATTATCTCTTAGGGTTGAGAATTTGATCATTTTGGGGAGTTTAGCTGCAGGACAGCAGCCGCAACACAGTTGTAACAGCATCCTAGTGCTAGAAATGGGTATGCTGAAAGGATCCCTGAGGTAGTAGATCTGTGGGGAGAGTTCTTCCCAGGGTCAGACACACAGATCTGCGGGTAGAGTCCCTGAAGATGCATCGAGAACTTCTATAATGATCCAGGCTGCTCGAATTTCTGAGCATGTTGCCTTCCCCCCCCCCCCCCCCCGCCTGCCTTCCCCAGCTCATCGGAATGACGCATATCTCAAATCTGGCACCTGCTTCCACACAATGATTTGGACATGTCCCCCGCTACCTATGAAGTAAGTGTAAAATCACTATGAAAACTCCGCTTTTTTTAATAAAAGGGAAGGAAGAACAGAGGTGTCACTTTGAACTGAACTGTGAGGGAAGCTGCCAGTATAGATTTCAGGTCTGCAGCTCAGTGGCTGCAGTGCAAGGAGCATTTGGGGGAGAAAAAACCCAACCATCCAACACCTCCCCAGCCAAACTGCAGCTCTCGTTCTTTGAAAATAAACGACCCCAGCAGTTCAATTCACTCCTGCTGAAAAAGCTTCTGGGACTCACTGCGAGTCTCACATTGACGTCAGCAAGTGCAAATGTAAATCTCAGCTGGCTCTGATAAATGGTGCTGCTAATTGAATTAGAGAGCACTTCAAGCCACCAGCTAATTATGCCCCTCAGGAAGCTGCTTTGTCCAGGTCCATTTAATTCTATATTGGCTGAGCACTCCGAATCTGGCACAGAGAAGGGGAAATATATTACAGCTCCCCGCTGAGGAGCACATATTTTCCAGCTCTTTAGGCTGAGCCGTCTGCTTGCTCCAAAAGCTCGGGTTTTCCATCAAAAACATAGTGCAAAATGAATGATTTGGTCACCTTATTCTAGTGTGTTATTACCCTGGATTGATAAGAGACTGTCTCATTCCCTTTAATGGTGCTTTCCTCCATGTTACGTGAAATGTTTTCCCTACTTTGGTTTTACAAGTAGCCAAATTACATCTTAGGTGCGTGGTCAGTACAAAATTGAACACCTAGAGGAAGTGCAAATGTTAATGTGTTTTCAAAGAGCTTTGGTCATGGACTTCCTGTGTATGCCTGCCGCTAGAAGTTACTGGGTCTTGCCCATGTTGCAGAGATCCAGCTTCCTCCTGCCTCTTCTTTCCTTTATTCCCCTCTCTTCCTTCGCATGCTTCTTTCTGAAATCTGCTCTCACTGGGGTACAAGTTCGGTTTACAAGGTGCAGTTAGGAAGAATCTCCGGCCACTGCACGTATCAAAGTGCTTCCACTCCGTGTCCATCTACAAGCCTGGGAGAGGGGACTTGACCATCTTCGCTTAGCAGTCCAGGAGGGTCTCTCTTCCAGAAGACCCGCTGCTGGCATTAGCAGAACAGGACTGTTGGGTGTCTTTCTCCTCAAGTCCCGGAGGTAATTTACAGAAACCCACTTAGCACCTAACGGCACTGTGGTCCCTGCTCTTCTGGGCCTAGTGGTAACTGTGCCCCTCTGTCCTAACTGGGAGCTGCTCTGGGTGCTGCAGCAGTTGCTCCTCTAGAACCCAAAAGAACTGGAGAAGAATTTGGACCCCCCTGGAATGTGTGGAGCACAGAAAGAGCTGGGCAGGATTTGCCTCTTTCCTGGCTCCAGCCTGGAGCCTAGCACTGGAAAAAGCTTTGCTGCATCAGTGTTCTGGTAGTATTGCACTAGACCCTTGGTGACGCAGCTTGGAGTGATTGTGGCCTTGATCTTGCTACCAACATGCTGCTTGGGAGCTCTGTGCCGATTAAAGCTACACGCACTCTCAGTCTCTGGGGGACAAATTTAGAAGCAAATGCAAATAGAACATTATATATATTCACTGTCATCTGTCATCCCAACCCCTTCCGTGTGCCATCTGTTGTCTGAGGTTGCTGAGCCTGATGAAGTGAGGTGATAGGAGGTAAAGGTTCCCTGTCTGAATTTGTCGTGACTTCCTGAGCTGTAGGTCCATCGGCAGCCGTGGTTCTCTCGGGACTGCTGATGAGACGAGGCATCCAGGCCCTTGCTGCTGTGTAGTTACCAGCAGCAGAGCGAGCAGCCTTCTGCTTGTGTCCAGTCTGAGTCTCTTGTCAGTGAGAAAGTTGCTGCTGAACAAATACAAAGGCTGACCTTAGAGCTGTGGAGCAGATATGTTGGTGTTACCACTTACCATGCCATATTCAGGTTTTCTGGGTTTTATATGCGAGATACGATTCTCTGAGCACATAAATGTTACTGCTTTTAAAGATGCCTCTTTTATTTTCTGTTCCTTTTTTTTAACCTGTGTCCTTAGACTGGGTAATCGGAACCAGTGTAATCTGGTCCCTTTTCACCTCTGTAAGTCGTCTTAGTGAAGAGTCGTTTTGCTGTGGCACCAGCACTAGCTAACACCTGGTGGAAACTCCCACTGGACCTGACGGTTCGAGTAGTACATCGTTTCACCTTGAAGAGCAAGGTGAACTTGGCTTTTGGGGTCTCCTCTGGCTCAGTGAGATTCACAGCTCTCCATTCTTGGAGCACGTACTTGTTGTTTTGGAGGAGGAGTACAGGAATGTAGATCAGCTGTAGCCTTTACGTACCAATCTGCTGTATTGTCATTTGTCACGAGCACCTTGGCATTAAGCGTGACGCCCGCTGGTGGAAAGAGCAGCTATCTTCCTGCTCCGTGTTCCTCGTCATTTTCCACCCTCGGCAGTTTTTTCTATCAGTCATTCCTGCCTCTCCTTTTTTCTTTTGATCTGCTTTTTACCAACGGTGTTTTCTCCCCGTTTCACCGCTGATAGAAATTGCGAAACGGTGAACACCGCCGTGTAAACTGCTGCTAATAAGGACTGAGTCACCAGCAAAGTGAAAAGCATGCGGAGAGCTTTCGTTTCTTAGAATTGTTGTTTGAGGCTGTCTGCAAACTCAGGATGGTTACGCTGAACTGGCTCATTTGGGAGGAGAGTTTTGCTTCTTCCAACTCCTGGAATATCCTTTTGTTCTGGGAAGCAAAGCTGAATCCTGCACGTGCTGAACCCATGCCATAAAGACCGTGTGAGCACAACTATGTGACCTGCATTGCTCCTGTATTTCAGAATAGCAACAAGTAGAAGGTATAGGGATTGTTTCTCACCAAAGGTATAAACGAGAGGAAGCAAGGACAGCATAGCAGTGCTTCTGCAGAGCTGTGAGAAGCACCAGCACTGAGGGTGAACACAGATGCTTAGGTCTGTTGCTCTACCAATCAGCCCCACCATTACTGGGTGTCCACTGCGTCGTACAGTGCTGGCCTGGGCAGGCTGTCAGCATGTAGATGGGGCCAGGTCAAGGGGACGATGTTAACAGGGTGCTGTTGTCTGACTCCTGTCAGCTCTACGTCTGGGCTGAGCGTCTGAAAGCATTTCCAGTGCTACAGACTGTATATTCAGGGCCTTGGCCATCAGCTGAAGGTGCTGCCTTCCTCTCTGTCCCTGAGCTAAACCGCACAAGGCTAATTCAACAAATTACTTCATCTTAACCCAAGCACACACCCTGAGCTCTGGGGAATTGTGCTAGTTTCTGTCCCTTTCTTACAGTGTTGCAGCGAGCTGGTGCTCGACCTTATTTTCCATTTACCATTCTTTTTTAAACAGCACCCCAAGCAGCTTGAACACAGTTGCTTTTTCTCATTGTTCTTTCTCTTTGCTAAAGGGAATTGACGTGAAACGCCACCATTCCTAGAGAGCAGCCATGGTAGCAATGGTGGGTTGTCAGGCACAGAGGAGGAGATGCCACACTAAGTTCAGCAATGACATGCTGTTCACGAGCCACAAGAGATGGAGAAAAACCAAGCACTTGTTTTCAAAGGGATGCTATTGCTTCTAGTGACTGGAGGGAGGGCTGACCTCCAATTTCCAGACGCAAGGAAATGACAGCTGTGAAAAATATTCCTTGTTCAGAACACACCAAAATTACCATCTTCTGCCTAGTTATTTGCTATTAAGAGATTCTGATTTGTACGTGTTCCCGATTCCAGCACTTCAGGAATTCACAAAGAGCAACCATTTCCAGTGATTCTTTTATTTAGGAACTTTGCTGGGTGCTTTACAATTTGTGAAGGGCCTAAGTATTATCACTGAGCTTTTTGTTCTTTGAAGTGAAGCAATCAGCGTTTTTATATCCTAGAGCAGAAGCTGAGCGCTTCGCAAAAAGCAGGCTTACAAGGCACTGGGTGTTGAAAGGAGGCAGTGTCACAGTTAGAAGTGGGACTTGTAAATCTTAGGAATTCAGATTTGCTTAGTCTCTCTGTGGGTAGATAACACTTTCTGCCTCAGTTTCCCCTCTCCAGTGAGGAAAGAGAGCTACTGTGTCTGTCACTCTGTGTCTAAAGAGGGAACGTTTCAACTGAAAAATGCCCTGCTTTGTGCTTGTATGGCACCTTATGTAACAGGACCCTGCTGCTGAGCAGGTAGATAGCACCAGTCTTTTCCTGGACGGCCTTTTACTCCCAAGTTGCAGATGATCAGGAGCTGCTTGTTCTCAGGTGAATTACAGTAAGGCTGTTGAAGAACCCTGGGAGCCTCTGGAGAGATGTAGTTCACAGTAGCAGTTCCTGCCATTGTTTTTTAGACCGCATTTTTGAAAGATATCCAGTGCTGCCTTACAATAAGCAAGCAAAACACAATTCATCCTTCTTCTGGAAAAGTGACTTGAATTGGATGTCCAGAACCTTGCTTGGCTGTGTTACCAGCATCGCTGTGTGAACTGCAGTGACCAGCAAGTACGTGCTGGGTCTGTGTACCATCCCTGACTACTTAGCATGCTGAAAATCAAATTTCAGTGCCGCTGCTGCTTTCCCAAGCTTAATGTGGATGACATCTGTCAGGGGTTGATAGTTTACCAGCAAGTTGATCGTAAGGATATTAGCTTCAGTGCTGAGGAAGCAAGACTTTGCCCCAGCCCTGATGTCACTAAGTTGCTCAAATTCTTGAAGCTTCTAGCAAGGTTCAGTGCTGCTGCTGCAGGACATTGTATTTGTCCGCTTCACATTTAAACCTGGATTTTACTAGTAGTTTGCTCAGCAAGAGAATACGTGCATTTAAAATGTACTCTGCTAGCACAGCTCCAGCAATTAGCCACCAAACAAAAGGTACTAATTTGATGCAGCCATTAAACCCTCCACGCTTGAGTACTCCGTTGGTCCAGTTGTTGCAAAATGCTGTGAAATGCCAGCTCCCAGCACTAGCCGGGCATGGAGCGAATGCTGGCAGCCGGCAGCAAACCTCCCCGTCGGCTTTAGAGCCGTCCATCCCTCTTTAATTCAATACCCTCAACAGAAGACTACCACAGGAGCAGAACTGCAAAATGCCAGTGCCCATCAGAGCTTCTCTCTGCCCTTCAGACATGTGTGGAGGAATAGGCAGCTGGAAAGATTGGGTAGAAAAGCGGAGATGACAGCAGCTAAACACGGCCTTGCTAGCTTTCACCTTCGTAGCGTGCCCAGAAGAACAGGAGGCCTGCCTGTTTGTGTGGTACCGAAGGCCCACAGGGCTGTGCTGTCTGCTCCTTGGATAGTGATATCCGGGATCTGAGAGTCTTTCAATAATTACACCACCTTCCTGCCCTCTTTCCAAGTGTGCATGCTAAAGAACTGGGCAGGCTGCTGCTCTTAAACTGGTGATGCTGGCACAAACAGCTTTGGTCCCACCAACGAGGAGGAAACAGGACTGGGCTTCATGTCATGTGCCTGAACCGTTAGCATTCCTCACGTCACTGACTCACCAGCCCAAATCTTTTGCAAAGCCTCATTTGTATCATTTTGAACATGCTGGCTAATGGGCGCTTTAAGGATGATTTGTTTTTCCTTTCTGGTTTCAGGTCCTCAAAGCTGCTGCGTGCATTCTACGTCCCTTTCCTCTCAGAACAGTACACGTGGTATGCAAACTATACTATTCTGAAATCCCGGAAATCGAAGCCAACCAGGAAAAAGATGGGAGGCTAGCAACACACCTGGGCAGCAAAACCAAAAGCATCTTCTGACATTCTTGGACAGCTGCCTGAGCCATCTTCAGTTCCATTTTTGAAAGATTGCGCTTGTGAGATTCACTAATAAAGGTTTTGCATGAAGTGATTTTGCTCTGCAAGCTTCCAGCTGTGGACAGGGTGCATCACCTGCTTTCAGTTCTCAGTGTCAGGTCTCTGCTCTGCCTACACAGAACATACTGGTAAGAAACCATTTGAAAATCCAGCAGCCACCTACAAACCTTTTATCCCTGCTGCTCCCTGTATTATTATCTATTTCACCGGCGAAGAGGAAGATGGAGAATAAAAAGGAATGACAGTATGAAGTTCTGCTCCAGGTGCAGCGTGGCACTGGGAAAATCCAGCTCAGCCTTTCTCTCTCATCACCACCCTCCCGCTGTCATCTGCTTAAGTAGTGCTCGCCTTCTCCTAGGGAATTTTTCCAGGTAACAATGTTTACAGTTTATTTTTTCTTTAAGGAAAAAGAAGGGGAAAAGAGGAAAACACCTGAGAGACAATTAACTGCACTGAATCTCACAGAATGGAGTAGTGTGCACCGTAGAGAAACGGCCTGAAGTTACTCTGTCCAGGAGATGTTTTCAAGGATAAACCTGTACTTTTGGGAGGAAAAAACCCCAAACTTAGGAGTTGAACCAATTGTCTGTTTTAATGGGATCAGAGTGTTTTTGTTATCTGTGAAACCAAGGGTTTGTTTGCTCTTTATAATAACTTTTAAAAGATACCTCTGACATCCTTTAGAGTACAGTATCTTAAAATTTCTGGAAACATCCAGAGAGGAGAAGAAGGGTTAGTTTTTTTCTTTTGTGGTTCTGTTTCCCAGAATAGACAGTGTGTGTTACATTGGTCCAATGTGCTTCAGAGCAATGCTGTATTTATAATATCTCCATTTTTAAAAGACTCAGTATCACAAGCTAGATGAAGAGAGTTGTTTCCACTCACATCCTTGTAACCCTGTGGGGATGGGAAGGCATGGCATGGAGCAGAGAGGGAGCTCCTTTTGCAAAAAGGCTGCACAAGCTCCATCCCCATTGTGACTGTGATTAGCTTGGTCTGTGTGTGCAGTGACAGCATGCCAGAGCATGTTTGGAAGCTGGTGGGATCCAAACAGAAAAGCACGTGCCTCTGAGGGTACGTGTGTTGGTCCAGGTGCAGAATGCAGTGCTAGGCAGGTCTCTTGGCCAGTCTGCAGGTTCAATGCAGGATGGGAAGGGCAGGCTGCACCATGGGCTGGCATCTAACATGATATTGCTGGGACAAAGCAGGAGGAGCTGGGTGAGGAGGAAGGCATGGGCTGAATCATAAGAGCAGGTTTAGAAACACAGAGGTGTTCTGGATCCCCTGCATTTCCGTAAGGAGGAGTTTTATTACTGGCGCTGTGCTCTGTGGGAAACACAGCTTAGAGAGTGCAACACGTGATGAGAGCAAACAGTGCGCTGCTTCGTTGTCTGGATGGTTACAGCACAGAGAATGCAGTTCTCTTCCATTGCACCCCCACTGTATGGAGGAGCAGTTTGAAGCTGAGACTCTAAATTCAACCTTTCAAGGCTTAGGGAACCATCTGTGGTGTCTTCAGAGAAACGAATTTTGCCCTGTGCAAATGCCACCCTTCATAAGACTCAAGCAATTGGTATCTTGGATGAGTTGGTCTGAAAGGTCAGAGTCACATTGCAGATCAACATTGTAGTGTCCGTGTTCATAGTATTCCCCCCACTCCAGCTGGCTTTACCCCTCAGAAAAGTTTACACGGGTTGACCAGGGCCCTACAGCATCCCTCCATCAAAACCAGAACTGTTGCCCTGCTTGTTGCCTCTCCCCTTGGTAATCCCTGACCTTAAATCAAATAAAGAACCAAACGCAGGTAGAGAACCAATTGCACCTCTCTCTGGTGCTGTTTGTGTGACTGTTCCGTGTTGTCATAACCCCCGACCTCCTGTTCAATGTGAAAAGACCCTACAGTAAATACCCTTTTTAAATGACTCTGGCTGCTGTACCTTCCTCTCCAGGTTGAGCCCTGTTTTGGGGGGTGCAAGACTGATAACTTGTCAATCATGAGGAGTTACCGGTGTTTCCCAGAGGAACGCGGCGAATGTTTGGTTCCTGGTAGGAAACGCAGGTGCGTCTGCAGGTAGTGGAAAGCTTTGCATTCCAGAGTTTCAGATCGAGGCGGGGACTCCATTGTGCTGCTTACCACGAAAACAGGTGGAGTCCGTCCTGCCAGCGGAGAATTGGCAGCTAAAGAGATGAGACAGGCAGGGTTGTTCCTCTCGTGGTTCGAACAAGAGCAGATCTCATTTTAATGCTGCGTTCAGGGGGAAGTTTGGAGTCTCCGTGCTGCAAAGATCTTGACCCAGCAACTCGTTTAAGGAGGTCACGTGTGGAGTCTGCCTACAAGTTGTTTCTCATTTGGTGTCTTTGGCACAGAACCAGCCTTCCTGGCAGCAGGTGAAGGAGCCAGGGCCTCTCTTCCTTTAGTCCCTACTAATACATAATTGTTGTCATGGGTAGTGCTGTCGGCCAGCCAGATAGAAGCAACCTCTCCATCCCAGCTGAAACCACGAGGAACGAGAAGGTGAAGTTGCTGCTAACGGCGTCTCTGTCGTATAAAGGCTGAGCCATTGGTGTGATTTCTGATTTTCTAAGGCTCCCCTCGTCTTTGTATAACTCACACGTCAGGATTGTTGCACTCCGTGCAGCACTCAGATCAGGCAAAAAGCCATCCATAGCGAGGAGATTACTAGTAAATAAACTGACTTGGTGGAATGAGCAGTACGAGTCCAAGGAGTATGTGCATCTGGGCCTGAGGAAGAGACTGTAAGAATTGCCTACCTGGCTCAGGTTAGCTGGATGAAGGAATTTGCTTTTTGGATGCAGATACAAAGAGGTTTGCCCAAAAGGTGGAGCTGCATCCAAAACAAAACACTTTTCAAGGCCTTTTGTAGTTTGCTTTCCTGGTTTGGATAGCAAGCTTGAGGGAGGGGCTTCTGATTTCTTTTTTTTTCTTCTTTTCTCTTTGCTTTCGCCGTAATTAAAGCAAATGTGTGATCTCACTCTCAGGAGGCAGGTTTGGGACAGCTAATTTATGATCTCTATTAAAAAATAAAGTCTTGTGGTTTGTGAGCTGGTGGGTAAAGGGTCAAACCACAGACTGCTGATCTGCCTCAGCTGGATTCCCTTCCTGGAGTTGCCTTGGGCAGAGAGGGGTGTTGCGACCAAACCTGTTGGGGAGCACATCAGGATTGTGCAGGCGATCCACCTTTGTCTCCCATCTGTCTTTGGAGAAAGGGCTCTTGGTATCATTCTGGCTGGTTCTGGTAAAGAAGGTGTCTAGATGGCTTTTTACAGTGCTGCTAGACACTGACAGAAGATAGTTCTCGACACAACTATAGATGGGCGCAGCCTTGCGGTCACGACTGTGGCTAGGTCAGGTGTCTCGCATGAAACTGAGAGGTGGTGCAAGACACAGTACGGGGGTTACAGTGTTCCTAACCTCTTAGCTGGCAGTATTCCTCCACCTTTGCACTGAGGCTGAAAGCACTGCAGGTTGGACAAGTGCTGCCGTGAAATACTGGGAGCCAGTAATTTCATCTTATCTGAGCTCACCGAGTCTTTGCAACAAGGAGCACTGAGGTGGAGAGTCCCTGAGGAAGCGCCAGCAATGAGACAGATTGACGCTCCCAGAAATAGGCTGAGGGAAGTCACGATTTCCACAGAACTATTTTTTTCCTGCTTGTCAGCTGCAGCAGGATTTAAGGTCCGATTCAGTTTTGCTCCTGCTTTTTCTGCCTGTTCCCGGGGTTCAGCTGCAACCAGCTCCAAAGGCAGGTGTGTGTGTAAACGGGTCATCTCCACCCAGAGCTCTGCTGGGGCTCAGGGGCACGTCACAAGAGGGCCCTCCTGGGCTCCAACCTGTTTCCAAGGATGAGCAATGCAAATTTGCTCCTTTTCGAAAGGAAAGCAGAAAGGGCACTGCATCCCCACAGAGGTGACACTTCAGCTTTGCTTGGCTCGGGGTTTTCTGCCTCTTGAAAGTGTTTATCTTCTTTCTGTAGGAAAATAATTTGAAATAATGTATTCTCGTAGAAGGCAGGAGCTGAGAGTGTGTGTGAAGTAGGGGCAAAGGAGTTGAAGTGTGTGGAGCATATACCTTGGAGATGAATAACAAACAGTGAATAAAATGTTGAGGGCTGCGTGTAGGCTGGGAAGGCTTCAGGCTGGCTTAGTTGGGAATGCCACAGGCCAGCTTGCAGGTGTGCCTGGCAGATCTGCATGGGAGCTGGTTTGGCACGGATTGATGGTGTGTTGGCAAATGGTCTGTCATGCCAGGGTGCAGCTGCTGCTTGACAACTCCTCTCCATCGGAATGGGGGAGCACTTTGACTTGCCTTGTTGCATTGCCAACATCAGGAGATTTTTGTAAAGCATGGTGGGGGGGTGTTCTTTCTGAAGCAGACTGTGCATCCTGAGTGCTTCTGAAGGGGCTGGACCAAAGTTTGGTTCCTGGGACAGTGATGGTCAGTGTCAAATACCAACTGCTGTTTCCTTTCCCCTCTTCCCCCGCCTTGTCTCTGGAGAGCTGAATGCTTACACAGTTCTTAGCTGTAGCCTTACTGGCAGCAGCTCTTTCCTTGCTACTTGCCCTAACCTCAGGAGCAGGGACTGTCTTAGTATTTGGAGTCCACCTCACAACCAACAAAAGGTATTTAGTAGGTTGTGTGTTTATTTTGTTGCTGTAAGAAGGGCTCAAAGGAGCAGTGGAGAGAGGCCCTGGTCATGAAATTCTCTGGGTTTGTGTTCCTAGCTCTCTAGGCACTGCTGGAGGAAAGAGCTGTGAATTCCTTTCTCCTCCAGCATCTTGTCAGAACCTGAGCATCATCCCAGCCCTGCTGAGATTCAGCGTGTGTCCCCGTGAATAACCGCACATGTCTCCATCCGCTTGCCTGGAGAGGTACTAATGAGGCCCCATCTGTCTGCTTTGCCAACTCCAGCTGTGTCTGCTAAGCAGTAAAAAAAGGTCAGGGAAAATGTGCAGGGTGAGAGAGCATCATAGCCTAGCAGGACTCTCGATCCATGCAGTCCTCTGCTGCCTTCCTGCCAGTTCTTCG